CACGCCCGCCCCCCCCCCCCCCCCCGTGACCCTCGTTGACCCTTATCCTTCAGAGAGGCTCCACCTCCTAAAGGTTGTTTAATTTCCCCAAACTGCTCCACCAGCTGGGAAACAAGTGTTCAGACAAGTGAGTCTACGGGGGATACTTCATACTCAGACTGACAACAGGTACCTCCTACCAAAACCTAGCATGAGCACTGTCAGCAAGAGGCATCCTACCCTGATTAGTTCACAGAGCAGTACATGGACAGGAGACCCCGCCCCTCCCATGTTCTTCCCACCTCCTGTTCTCCAGTTTGCTACACAGACCCAGGATGTGCAAATGGGACTTGAACCACCACAGGCAACTTACTGTGTTTGTTCTGGAATCCTGCAGTGTAAACTTCCATGCCCTGGAGAAAATAAAAACAGGGTACTCTGAGGTTATCCAACATTCTAATAAGTCTTAAATCCTGGCTGGCATCAGCATTCCTGAAAAGGCTTGTTTATAGAGAGACATCCAGCCTGTAATCCCAGCACTTGGGAGACTTAAATAGGACCACTACCAGGAGCTGAGGCAAACCTGTGCTGCAGACTAAGACCCTGTCTCCTACCAACCCACTGACACCACAATAAATAAAACAAAACTTCAGGCCTTACCCCAAGACCCACAAATCACCTACCTGTTCAAGATATGAACTAAGAAAACATGTATATTTAAAGAATGGATTAATATTCTAAACCATTGAAAGCATAATGGACATCATTTAATATTTTCTTCTCATTAATACATGTGAAATGTACTGTAAGCTGTTTCATCAGCAGCCAGCACTGGCTGGAAACTTACTGTGTAATTCACGCTGACCCCAAATTCAAGATCCTCCCACCTCAGCCCACGGAGTATGGGGATTCAGATGTAAGCCAACACCTGAATGCCACTTGGTCTCTACTTCATTTTTAATGGGTCTTCTATGTTCTATGATACGAAGAGATTTCAATTGTCTTAGTTAGGGTTACTATTGCTGTGATGAAGCTCCATGACCAAAAGACACTTGGAGAGGAAAGGGTTTATTTCCATATTACAGTTCGGTATCAAAAGCAAGTAGGACAAAACTCAAGCAGGGCAGGAACCTGGGGCAGGAGCTGATGCAGACACCATGGAGGACTGTAGCTTTTCTCAAGTGAGGCTCCCTCCCATCCAGTGTCAAGCAATAAAACCAGCCAGCGCACCGGTGATGCCATGCTGTCACCCTTGGGAACAGCACATAGGTGTGTTGCAAATGGAGGGCCTTAGACGGCAAGGCCCTTTGGAGAATCCCATCCATTTGGCAAGGACCTGTGGATACAATACTGCAAACTCCTGCGTTGAACTTAGGGAGCTCATGGGCTTCAGGCTTCTCTAATGTTTTGCTATGCCTGAATTTACTGGGAACAAAAGCTTCTACAGAAAAACTAAATTTCTCTGATCTGTTACAGAAACCAGTTTCTCCAGTCATCCCTGGCTGCCTTTGCAATCATCCTGAGGAAGCAGGAGGAACTCACTAAGGTTAATGATTATTGCTTATTCAATTGCAAAAAGAAATAAATATATTCCAAAGAACTTAGGAACCAAGAAAACGGTTTCTTAAAAGATGACATTAAAAACCTTATAGGAACACAGAAGGAAAAAGAGATAGGACAGGAAAGGTCAGACATTTCTCTGGCACTAGAACATGAACATTCAATACTTTTCCAGCATCAAAGTATCAAAAAAGGAATCTGAAACTCCTAGTTCCTCTTAAAGAAATACATTTAGAAACTGCCAGAAAGAATAAAGAAACATAATCTCAATAGCTAAAGAGTTAGGTATTAATCATTATTATTTTGAGAACTTATAAAGAATAGGATTATAACTGCATTCCATATAATAAAGTTGACATACAGATTACTCAGAAACTGGTATACACCTGAAAATGATACTCTAGGCATCACAATATATTCAGCTGATCTCATATTGTCAAGAATTAATCACAGGGCTCAAATCTTACTTTGTAACCGAATGTTTGCTGCCGGCTAGGGCACAGTATGAATAAGATGTACCTAGCTAGATATAAACACTTGGATTGCTATATAATGATATGGGGTAAAAGTCAGTGGGAAAGAAGAAAAACTAAAATGTATAAATGTCAATGATTCCTGGGAAATGATTAGAGAGAAACTATTTGAAACTGATCACGCTTGAATGCATTGGAACCTGTATAAATAAAGATGGCCTGAGCTAGTCAGGGCCATCAGTTTGAAAGACAGCGGTGGTCAGACTCCTCATTTTTCACCGACTTCACACATGCTTCCTGCGGCACAAGAACCCCCCTGGAGTTGGACTCCAGCACACCGGCAACATTTTTACCATCCAAAAGGATGCTCCCTGCTACCTTTGTGCCCCTTTTTTGTTTTTGAACTCCTGGCCCTCCCAAGTGTTAAGATGACAGATGTACCCCAGCATGGCCTGCTTCCTTAGTAGCTTCTGTAAATACTTCTAGAGGATGATTCCTAATGAATTGCTTAGCCATAGAATGCATCCATTGGATGTATAGGTAGGTAGGTAGGTAGGTAGGTAGGTAGGTAGGTAGGTAGGTAGGTAGATGATTGATAGATAGATAGATAGAAAGATAGATAGCAGACAGAGATAAATAGATGCTTCCCCTTTCACTTCACTTGATAGTTAGAGAAGACAATCCATATTTATTTCCCCACCTTTCCTCAGAAGTCTCTATACTGGATTGAATTACGTGCCTTCAAAAGACACATTGAAGTTAGGGAGCCCAGTACGGATGAGTGTGATTCACCAGGACACAGGGTCTTTACACATAAAATGAAATGAAAATGGGGTCAAACTTTAAGGTCCTCAGTCCAACATGATCGATGTGGGCACAGATCCAACAGGAGAAAGTTATGTGACAACAGAGGTGGAGGCCCTCACACACACACACATACACACTGTAGTTTTAATAAAACTTTAAAATAAATCCTAAGAAAGTTTATCCAGGCATTGTGGCACATACCTTTAATACCAACAGTAGGGAGGCAGAGGATAAATGGATCTCTGTTGAGTTTGAGGTACATAGAGAATTCTAAGCCAGCCAGGGTTACATAGTCAGTCAGTCAGTCAGTCAGTCAGTCAGTCAGTCAGTCAGTCTCTTTCTCTCCCCCCTCTCTCTTGTACACATACATACACAAATGCACAAGACCGGTAAGAGCCTATCAGTGAAAAGCACAAAGTGGCTGCTAATGAGTTTTGCCATTCATTCTGGGATCCTGCCTGTCTTAGTCACTGTTCTATTGTTGTGAAGAGACACCATGACCGTGGCAACTCTTAGTTTTTTTTTTTAAAAAAAAAGGGTTTTTTGGTTTTTGTTTACATTAACCATAGAGTTTATTACAGGGAGGGAGGGGGAGAAGAGAGAGAGCCCAAGAGGGTAAGAGGAAGGGGATAAGAGCAAAGAGGAAGGGGGAGGGCAAAAAAGAAGTATTTAATTGGGGGCTTGTTTATAGTTTCAGAGGTTTAGTCCATTGTCATCACAGCAGGGGGGCATGGCAGTGTGCCAACAGCGCTGGGGAGTAGCTGAGATCTCCATCCTGATCCATAGGCAGAGACACACTGGGCGTGACATGGGTTTTTGAAACCTCAAAGCTCGCCCCCAGTGACACAGTTCCTCCAACAAGGCCACACCTCCTAATCTTTTTCAAATAGTGCCACTCCCTGGTGACTAAGCATTCAAATATATGAGCTTCGTGGAGCGGTATTCTTATTCAAAACACTACACTGCTTGAGCAAGAGGGAAAGAAATCAGAATAAAGAGGGCTAGGGTGATGATGGCTCCGTGGGTAAAAGTATTAGCTATGAAAGCACAGGGACCTCAGTTTGAATCCCCAGAACTCATGTAAAAACTTCAGATGTGTAGCACTAAGATATATAATCCAGCACTTCTATGGAGAAATGAGAAATCGAGACAGGAGAACCTCTGGGAGCTCATGGGGAAAATACAATGAAAAACAGACAAAACCTTGTCTCAAAAACAAGGTGAAAAGTGGGGGCCAATACCGATAATTCCTTCTGACCACCACCCTTGCACGAACACACACACACACACACACACACACACACACACACACACGCATACACACACAAGAAAGAAATTAGATCTAAGAAAAGCCCCTGTTCTACAGTTCCAGCCTAGAGGAAAACTCTACTCCCATTCTTTTCCCTTCCTGACAAGTAGAAACTAAAGCAGAAAATACTTTGTCAACTAATGAATCGAAATGAAATCAAAACTCACAGGCAATCGTCTGTGCTCTCTGCACAGAGACTGATGGTTTTCCCGTCTCGGCAGACGATCTGCAGCAGACAGTCTCTGGGTTTCCCATCTGGAGGCTGGATATCTAGGAGAAACAAGCAGAATGAAGGACCACGCAGTAGCTTGCCTTTTTGGTTTGGGTTTTTTGTTTTGTTTTGTTTGCCTCCCTACACATTCATAGAAATAACAACCCACAGAAGTGAAGAACAAGACAGAGCATCACTACATAGGAAATAACCTGGGGCCTAACTAAGATCAACAGGGAAACAACCAAGCTGGCTGGCAAGGAGGATGCCATTTGTTCCCTGTAAAGTAAGCATAAAGAAAGGATGACTGACCCCAGCATCCAATGTACTTCATCATGGTTTCAAGAATCGGACCACACGATCCCATATACCCAGTGTCTAAATCAGAAAATCAGCATGACCTAAAAGAGGTTCCACCTTTCTTGGCGTTGCTAGCAATCTAGTTCCTTTTCCAAAGATGGGGGGACGCAATGGGAAAAAAGAAATCCTTCTACCCTGATGTTCGTGTCCAATCCCCACTATGGCTGCCTGGACAGAGCCCAGTTTGATACTGGAAGCGGACTCATTAAGGAAGGGAGGCACGGCAGTTCTGGGCACCGCTTACCCCGACACTCATGCCCCATGCGGATATTGATGCAGTCCACTGGCATGTGGACCTTATCCTCTATACTCTGCCGAGTCTGATCATCATAGTAGATCAGGTGACCATCAGACCACAGGTCAAACCAATTCTTCTTCCAGCGCTTCAAAATCGTACCTGGAGGGAAACAGGGAAAGTTGTCTTTGGTTTAAAACAATAAAGGCTGACCCCAGTGCACAGCAGTCACAGAGGGAACTGGCCATCCCCGCAGAATTGATGGAAACAGACATGGCCTGGTCACTCCCACTTTAACAGTGCAAGCACAGGAAGGCTGCCAAGCAAAGCACGAGTCGTGAAATAAACAAGAAAAGGTAGACTGAAAATTAAGAATGTACCCCTCCAAGGGAACATCAAGGAAGAGGGGACAGGACACATGTAAAAGCCAAAGGATGGAGAAGAGTTCTGTGGAACACTGCCGTTTGGATACTGCCAGAGGCCACTGAGAATATACAGCAGGTGACAACTAGTATTCAACAGGCCGACCCACCAGATAGAAAAGTCTATCGTAAAGATAGAGAAGAAATATTTTCTAAGTTCCTCACTGCTCTGAGAAGGCATTCTTTTTGCTACCCTGGGTGCAGTCCTGGGAGCTGGCTTCCTGGGAGGCAACAGGATACAACATGGCCATTGTACTCAAGAACACAGCAGCTATGAATACCTGCACAAGGCCCACCCAAGACTGGCCCTTTCAACATTCCAGCATGGATGGGAAAAACATATGTAAAAATGATAATAACTGGGGCTGGAGAGATGGCTCAGAGGTTAACAGCACTGGCTGCTCTTCCAGAGGTCCTGAGTTCAATTCCCAGCAACCATATGACGGCTCACAATCATCTATAATGAGATCTGGTGCCCACTTCTAGTCTGCAGGCATACATGCAGGCAGAACACTGTATACATAATAAATACATCTTTTTAAAAAATGATAATGACTTAAAAAAGAAAAGAAAAGAAAAAGGCTCACCTTCCAAGAGCATGGAGGCCAGCCAAAGGACTGGCAAAGGACTTATCTCTGAGCAAGGCCCTCCATGGTCCACAGAAGTTTGGGAGCACAAAGCTCAAGAAAAGGTAGCCCTTGGGGACCGAGGCTACCCTCTGAAATATCAGGTAAAGCCAGAATTACTTGCTCTGTCTAGGTTAAGGCTACCCACAGATCTGGGTAGCACAGCACAGCTCCAGGTTTGGGAAGGGGTAACTGGCTCTCCCTGCTTTACAGCACGTCAGAGTGGCAACCTAGGAGAAGAACAGCTGGTATATGAAGAACACGTCCACAGCTTCCAGGTCTAGGAGACAGGACCTCAAGCCCAAAGAACTGAGTTCCCTCTGGAATAAAAGGTCGGTGTGCCTGCCCATCCAAGGCAAGTCCCCCTACTAATCCTTCTCAGACCCTACATAGGACAGGTATTTCCCACACACAGAGGCCAGGTGTGGTCAGGCTCAGCAGCACTCGACTGAGGAAGGGAAAGGAGCGGGGACCTCCATGCTTCCTGGCTCCTGATAGGTGTTTTCACAAACAGTTCACATAGCTCTAAAAATTCCCAAAGGAAACGCAAGGCAACAGCATTAACCAGACATGACTGCTTGCAAATGGAATCTGTTTTAGCAGATTCAAGTGTCTCTACTCACTCTGTCGGAGCAACCATCCACTCTTGACAAATGCCATCTCTTCAGCTGCAAGAGAAAGAGCAGACAGGTTCAGAATTAAGAGTGGGAAAAGAACAGCTCATCTGGCTCAAGTTTCACTCCCCCCCCTCCTCCACTGTGAGCCGAGGAACAACTCATAGACATCTGACCTCACACAACTCAACATTTATCAAATGCCTCATCCACAGGTCCACACCACCCACGTTTCCTCCAACCTTGCTGAGTCCCAACAGGCAGTCCCAGGAACACTGACACTTAGCTCTGATAAGGACTTGGAGCTTCTCACAACACACCCAGTGTCCTGGAGACAGAGTCCAGCTGCCTCAGCCTAACTCCTACATGTTCCACAGGCTAACATGTCTGGTCATGCCTCACTGGTGTTAGCTGACTGAGTGGTTAGATCAAGGCAGAAAACCTTGGGTCTTCAAGAAAAATACATATATTTAATGCCATAAAACTAAGGATCTTGGGGACTAGAGAGATGGCTCCGCACTTATTGTCCTTGCAGAGGACTGAAGTTTCATTGCCAGCACCCACATGTCAGCTCACAATCATCTGTGACTCCAGTTCCAGGGGATCTGAATGTGTTCTCACTAAAGACTAAGATTAATGTGTTTGTTTCACTTACTTTCTAGCCATGTATTCATGCTACAGAACCACTCATCAAGTTTAAAAAAAAAAAAAAAACTATTAGGAGAAACCAGAGGGCTGATCTGGGAAACTGATTCCAGGCCAGTAGAATCCAGACTCAAAAAGAGGCAAGACAGGCACTTACACATTTAAAGACATATAGACATATGCTTCAAAAGTGTTACAGAGAAGGAGACTGGGGCCCCTAGCTAGGGAGAAGGTTCAAGGATTTGCCAAGCAAGCATGAGGATCAGAGTTTGGACTCCTAGCAACCATATGCCATATTACCGTGGCCCACGGTAATCCCAGTGCAGAGGTGTAAATGGGATCCCCAGAGTAAGATGAATAGATAGACCAGTCAAATTGGCAAGCTCTGGTTCACTAAGACCCTGCCTCAATGTCTCAGACTCTTTTACTGGCTTTTGGGACCCTACTCCTCATACTGGGTTGCCTTACTCGGCCTTACTTAATAAATGGGGTGGTAACTAGTCTTACTGTGACTTGATATGTCTTGTTGATATCCATGGGAGACCTGCCTTTCCCTAAACAGAAATGGAGAAGTGGATTGGGGCGTTGGGAACAGAAGGAGATGGGGGGAGGACCTGGGAGGAGAGGAAGGAGGAGAAACTGTGGCAGGGATGTAAAATAAGTAAATACATTTATTAAGAAAATAAATAAGGCCCGGTGGTGGTGGCTCACGCCTTTAATCCCAGCACTTGGGAGGCAGAGGCAGGAGTATCTCTGTGAGTTCGAGGCCAGCCTGGTCTACAAGAGCTAGTTCCAAGACAGCCTCCAAAGCCAGAGAAACCCTGTCTCAAATCCCACCCCAAAAAAGAAAGAAAATAAATAAGGGACTCTGCTTCAATGTATAAGGCAAGGAAACACCAGTAAGATACTCCATCTCGCACACATCCATCTGCAGAAACGTGGGCCCTCACACAAATACACATACACATGCAAGTATACCACACACACACACACACACATACACACGCAAAGCTCAAAAAATAAGGGCTGGAGAGATGGCTCAGAAGTTAAGAGCAACCGGCTGCTCTTCCAGAGGTCCTGAGTTCAATTCCCAGCAACCACATGGTGGCTCACAACCATCCGTTATGAGATCTGGTGCACTCTTCTGGTGTGCAGATATACATGGAAGCAGAATGTTGTATACATAATAAATAAATAAAATCTTTAAAAACCAACCAAATAAATAAATAAATAAATAGGAAAAAAAAAAAAAGGCATTAGCTGTAGAAACTTCCTAAACAGTAGCTTCTGATCGGGGGACACCCTATCAACCTTCAATTGAATGCAGAAAATTCTCACTTTATTCCCAGGGTCCAGATGTATGTTTAATGCCAAGGTCCTCTAAAAGGACCCACTGCTTCCTGTGAGTGAGTTGGTTACAGTTCAGGGCAGGACACCTAAGAAGCTTACTGTTAAAACACAGAGATGGTGCCAGCCAGATGGCTTAGTGGCTAAAGACACCAGCCACCAAGCCTGACGAGCTGAGTGTGCCCAGCACCTATAGGACGGAAGAGAAGAAGCGATTCTCACAAACTGTCCTCTTACCTCCATACACATGCTGCGGCAACACAGGTGTACACACACACACGCATGCACTCACTAGAACGGGGCCGGAGAGATGGCTCAGCAGTTAAGAGCTTGTGCTGCTCTTGTAGAGGACCTGAGTTTGATTCCCAGCACCAAACTGAGTATCGAGTGGCACAGAATTATAATCCCAGTGGAGGCTGAAGCAGGAGGATTGAAAGTCAAACTCGTAAAGGCTAAATGATGATTAAGTGCAATACTTTTAAATGGGTTTCTGCTAGAAAACACTTCTCTTGGTTTGCTTTCTATTTGCTGCGATAAAACCACTAACCAAAAGCAACTTGGTGAGGAAACGTTTTATTCGCCTTACATACTCATGGTCATAGTCCACTGAGGGAAGCCAAGGCGGGGACCTGGAAGCAGGAATTGAAGCAGAAGTCATGCAGGAACACTGCCTACTGGCTTGCTCCTCAAGCGTATGTAGCCTGCTTTCTTTTGCAGCCTGCTTTCTTTTGCAGCCTGCTTTCTTATATAACCCAAGGCCCCACACAGAAGGCAGGGCCCTCCCACACCAATCATTAATCAAGACAACTTCCCCACAGACTTGCCTGTAGGCCACTCTGATGGAGGCAATTCCTCGACTTCTTTATAGGTCTAGGTTTGTGTCAGGCTGACAAAAACCAACCAACACAATGTGTTACGGTGGGGGGAGGGGGGAAGGCATTTCACTATGAGCTTGATTCCATAAGACTAAGAGGATAGGAAATGGAAAAAAGAAAAAAAAAAAAAACGAAAACAAAACAAACAATAACAACAAAAACCATCCAGCACTATCTTTAATTCTATATCATACCATCCTTCCACTAGATAATTAAGTAGCTACGTGTTGAGAGGGATATGTGTGACCTTTACTATTTAAGATGTTAAGATGTGCATGTTAAGACAAGACCAGACTTCTGAGTGGAAGGCTTGGGTTTGGTGAAACTGGTAGCCAAGAAAAGCTAGGAGCAGGCCTGAAGGCAACCTGAACTTGGGCTGCTAAGGAAACAGGCCTGGAGAAATGCCTCTTGGGTTCACAAGCTGAGGAATGCACTGAGGCTTGTTAGACAGGCTCTTACACACTGTCCTCAGAAAGGTCAGAAGAAGCCATGTCAATGGGAGCACTCTGCGGCACCGATGGCTCTTCACCCAGGTCAGAGAGGGTAGTCAGACACACGGCCTATTCTGGAGGCACTGAAGCTGGGGTTGATGCCATGTGACTCAGCACAGAACAAGGAAGCATGTGACGTTTTGTCTTCCGGTCTCCCGGGCAGTGCTCCTGGTACTACATGTAAGCACTATTTATGAGCTTCTACTGTCAGCAGCATCCTACCCTGGCCTCTGGCTGCCAGGCCAAAAGCAACATGTGGCGTCCACCAGGCCTTCCTCACCAGAGAAAGCAAGTTAAGATACACAGAGAGCAGTCCTTAGTAAACATTGCAGATGGCCACTACATCCTGACCTCCACCCCTGACCACAAAGCTTTGAAAACAATGGTCTCTGGAGAGCTGGAATTTTCTCAGGCATTGCATGCCGGAAGGGAAAGGCTGAAAGGGAAAGGCCTAGTTCCACTAGAGGGGAAGCAAGTCTCCCGGAAAGAGAATCCACTCAGTTCTGACTTGTCAAACCACCTTGCAGGAGACCGGTGCTCAACCAATGAGCCAATGATGCAGACCTTGACCAGAACTGTTTAGCTAGGCACACTTCCTAACCTATCTCAACCTAACCTCGGGGCTGCACAGATGGCTCGGTAGTTAAGAGCGGGGCCTAGGTTCAACTCTCAGCAGCCACATGGGGGCTCACAACACATCCAGTCACAGGGCATCCAACACCTTCTGGCTTCTGAAGGTACTATATGCATGTAGTATACCAATGCACACAAACACCCTTATATTTAAAACAAAGGTAAATAAATATAAAAATTAATAAGCATAAACCTCGTACCAGGCCCTAAAGGCAGATAGGATGGAAGGGGTTGTGTGGCTTTTTCACTACCATCTGTTTGTCTAATTGGTCCATTGAGGACCACTGGCTGTCTGGCTTGTTAGTGCTGCCAAGGCCCAGGCTCCTGCCATAAAAACACCAGCATCATCACTGTCAAAGAAATAACACACACTGTATCCCCAAAATCAAAAACAGAATGTTCTAAAATTAAGAACATTCAGAACTCTGGGTTTAAATAACCATAATCAAACATGCAATAAGACTGGGCTATAGCTCAGTCAGGGGCAGAGCACTTGCCTGGAACATGTGTACCCTGGGTTTCATTCCCCAGCACCAGAAAAAAAAAGGGGGGGATGGAGGGAAGGAGGACAAAACAGGGTGGGAGAAAGAGAAAGAGAGAGGAAAGGAGGGAGGAAAGAGGAAGAGGAGGTGGTGGTGTTGATGGTATCTTTTTCTCAGAGAGAAAAAGGAGGGGCTGGAGAGATGGTTAAGCAACAATGCAGCCAAGCTTGATGATGAGTTCAGTTCCCATTCCCAGGCCCTTTATGCTGGACAGAGAGAACCAACTCCCTCCAGTTATAACCTGATTTATATGTATAACATGTATGTGCTGTGGAGTGTTGGGATTAATGGTATGTACCACCACCACCGCCCAGCTTAAATAAAAATTTTAAAGGAGGAAAAAAATCTGCTAGGAACTAAGGCTATAGCCCAGCCACAGCATAGAATGGCATAGAGAAGGGTTCTGGACTCAACCTTCAGCATCAATAAATAATAAAATAACAAATAAAAATAGCCTGTGTATATGATTTCAGAAACAAACCACAGGGAAGGAGCAGAGAAATAGTGTGAGAGAAGTGTTT